AGGCTGCGGCGGTGCTGGAGTTTGAGGTAGGCTGCAGATTTCCCAGCAAGGTTTAAACTGGCGGGGGAGGGTGTTCGCATGTGGGCGCAGGGGCTGCCCAGACCTTGATGTCCCCCGCACGCCCTCCGGCATCTGCCTGCGGCTGTCTGCAGCAATCCAGGAGGGTTGCCCGGAGGCGGCCGCGTCCTCGTCCGCGGGCGCGCAGGACGCCGAGCGGGACCCCCGCCCCACGCCCACCGCCAGCCCGAGAGCAGAGCCGCGGGAGGCGCGCTCGCCCGCCGACAAGGTCTCCGTTTGCGCCTGACGCGGGCTCTCGGGGCAGCTTGTTTACCAGCCTGAGTCACCCGGGAACCTTTGACCGCTGCCTGGCACAAAAAGTTCTCCTCCTGTAAGTCCCCTTGGGCAGAAAGGGCATTCACCAGGGCCCGGGACTCAAACTGGTGCAGGGCGACACCCCGCGGTGGATTCGGACAGCGCGGCCCCGCCGCTCCGCCCGTTTCCTGCTTTGCCCACCTGGGCTCTACCCACACCTACGTGCATCGGCCTCCTTTCCTTGCAGCAAATCGGATCGTGCTTTGCCTTCTTTGTGTCCCTGGGGAGTGATGAGAGACCCCAGTCGCGGCAGAAGCAACATTCCAACCCTCCGTGACCTGGCGGGCAGCTGCCTACCTTCTCCTGGGGCCCCCGCCGGCCTCCGCTCTCCCGCCACTGCCTTTACCACCACACTCTCTGCACCCCAGCCTCAGAGGGTTACTGCAGCTGCCTGAGCTCCACAGCCTTCCCTGCTCCTCCAGTGCCCTATGTGGACCCTATGCATCCTTTAACCAGCTCCCAGTGAAGTCACCCCGGGATGCCTCCCCTGATGATTCAACTCCAGCCAACTGATCTCACTCCGGGCCCCAAGACTTTCCTTACGGCTCACTTAACACTGTTTCTCTTGTACTGTAGCCAAATGTGGATGCCAAAAATCACCCCGCTTTCTCCCCAGACGCCAATCGAATTATCTGTCCATCTGAGCTGTCAGGAAAGCAGTCTGATGACAGTGACATAAAAAGCATGCCAGGCCAGGGCACTACAAGGGCAAGTGAGGGCACTGGGGTGGGGAGGGGGCCCTGAGGGGAGGTGGGATACTGCTTCAGACTCACTTCCAGGACCTGGCAGCTTCCCCTGGTCCGGCAGACGGGAGTAGTGTAGATCACAGCTGGACTGGAGATTAATGGCAGGTGAAGTGGAAGCAGCACACGTGGGCCGTATGGCCCACGAACACCCTGGCTCACCGTGGGGTAGAACTTTCTCCGCACCCTGCAACCTCTGAGACTGAAGGAGGAAGAAAAGGAAATCCACATGCAAGAGGCCTGGGCAGTCAGGCGTCTGACCGCCATGGTGCCCATCCAGTCCCGAGTGCGAGTCACCGAGAATCCCCCTGTGTTTCTGCTGGCTGCATGGCCACTCCTTGCTGCTTCCACCGTAAGCCTACAGACACCCAAGGGGTATCAGTGGATGTGTCCCATGTGGTCCACATCTGTTTACTGCAGGAGCTGTGCCACACCTGGCAGAGGGGTTCTGAGGTCCACTTGAGTCACGTGGGCCCAGATGTCAGGCCCCCCGAGGCCGACAAGCACAGGTGGGGCTGGGGAGGGACACTGCCTGGCTGAGCAACCCACAGAGTCCGTCTCCAGCCGCAGGCCCCATGACCTGGCCCTCCCCAGCTGCCCGAGCACCGTCTCTCGCCAGGCAGGTGGGAAGAGGCTTGGGTGGCATTAACGGGCTGGGCTGTGGAGTCACACTGCCCGGGTTTGAATCCCAGTTCTGCCGCTTATGGGCTGTGGTCTTGGGCAAACAGCTTCAAGTCTCTGACCCTCAGCTTCCTCATGGAGATCTCGGCCACTCTGCTGGGATGCCCTGTAGACCTCTGCAGTCAGACACACCCCTCAGACCACACTATGATACAGGCAGACTAGCATTTTTGAGGCCCAACTGGGTGCTGCTTCTGTGCTAACACACAACATCCCTCCCAGGTCGTTGTTATTGTTCCCACTTTTTAGGTGGAGAATCTGAGACCCAGAGCACTAGAGTAACCTGCCCAAGGTCACATAGCCAGTGAGGGTCAGAGGTAGGATTTGCACCCAGCCTGGACTGATGCCACAGCCTGTCCCCTTGGCCAGCAAGGTCTCCTGCCCCTGTCAAATAGGTGTGACTCAGAAAACAGAAGCCCTCGGGGGTTTCATAGAGAGGGAATTTAATACAGGGAATTTGTTACACACATGATGGAAGTAACTAGATACGAAAATGGGAATGAATGGTGAGGGAGGGGACAGATGCTCTGGCTCCACCACGTCTCCCGCCCCCCAAACTCTCCCCCGCTGGACCCACCCACGATCCAGAGGAGGCAGGGCTAGGACGTGTTGGCGGATGGACCCGGAGGATGCAGGCCGTGACTGCACAGAGCAGCAAAATGCTCTGTTCCAGGGATGCCTCCTAGGAGGCCAGCCCTGAACTGAGGCTTGAGAAATGTAGTGTTAGCGAGCAGGACCCTATAGGGCCTTCCTGGGACAACACCCCCCTCCCCATGTCCTCCACCTGCCTCTTGTCTGTAGAAAAACCTTACCCAAAGAATATATTTAATCAGAGAAATGAGAGAATGCGGAAAGAAAGGAAAACAGTCAAGCAAGGCAAAACAACGATGGTTTAGCCATTAAAGTCAAGGACCTTTAGCTCCTCCTCAAGGGCTATAGATACTATTCTGAGCCGTGTCCCCTGAGCTGTTCTGCAGATACTGAAGCCCCCACCAGGTGGGAGATATTAACTGTCTGCTGCCCACTAGCACGTAGGCCCAGACCAGCTGGAACCAGAAGGTTGATGCCGCTGACTCCCGGTTACCTCACCACCAGCCAATCAGAAGGATGTCCACGAGCCGACCACACCCCCACAGCCCTCTCCTCAGCACGTAGCCCCTTCCTCTTTCCCCTATAGAATCTCCGAGCAAAACCTGGGGAGTGGGGAGCTGGTTCTTTGGGACATGAGTCCACCTTCTCCCCAGGATTGCCGGCTTCCTCAGTAAAGCCATCTTGTCTCTCAGTATTGGATGCCTGAGCGGCAAGCAGCTGAACCCGGGTTTGGTAACAGTAGGAGTTTGACAGGAGAATAAAGGTCATTCCAGAGGAAGGGGTGGATAGAAGCAGAGGCACAGAGTCGGTTTTGCGGGAGTGACCTGAGACCTGGTGCCATGGAAACACACAGCTCCTGTCCTCAGGCTGGACCACCTGTACCTCTGACACCCCTCCTGGGCTGGGGCCCCCCATCTTAGGAGTCCCCACTTCCCACCTTAGAAGCTCTCTCTCCCGCCTCTCTTGCAGTCAGGGTGGAGGTGGGACCCTTAGGCTCCTACCTATGAGACATGAAGTGTGGGCAGGTGACCCAGGTTCTGAGGATGAAAATCACACATCAGGACCCCCATCACAGCCAAGGGGTCTCGTCCAGGACACACCTGCAGCCAGCTTTGGGCTCGCTCCTGGTCACACCATCTCTTAGCCTGGCTCCCACGCCCTGCAGATTCGGGGAGCCCCCCTGCCCCTTTCCCCTTTAACTGGCTACTGTTGATTTCTGTTTCTGTTCCTAAGAGCTCTGACTGCCACACCTTCTTCAAGGAGGAAAATAAGCTCACGTGTTGTTAACAAGGGATTGGATTTTCTCCTTTCAGGTTGCCTTTTTTCCAGATTCCTAAAGTCTCGTTAGAACAGGTGTTGCTTGAGATGAACCCTCTCAGAACTCTGTGCTCTCCCATCTCAGTCGCTGGTTCACAGAGCCTGTTGTGGCTTCTAGACCCCAAACTCAGTGCCCAGCTCTCTCTTCCGTGGCTCTGACAGCTAGGAGGGAGGCCGGGCTGCAGAGTCAGGCAGCGGCTGGATCAGTAGATTGTGAGAGTCCTGGGGGTGGGGGAGACACTTGTCTGCTCAGGGCACCCGACACCAGCTGCTGTAGCGTATACTCCCCCATACATACACACGTGTGCACACACACACAAATCCCATGTGTGGCTTAACACAATAGAACCTCCTGCCTTGTACGAAGAACACTGTGGTTACTGCCTGTTGGCTCCCACCCCTCCAGGGGTGATTCAGGGATTCTTGCTCCTTCCACCCGTGGGTTTCCCCCCTCCCACTCGTGGAACTGGTCTCCCCACCCACTAATCCTGCCTTGGGATTAGCAGACCCAGGAGTTGCTGGGACTCCCACTGGCACTACAGTGCTGGCCTGCCTGCAAACTGTCCAGAGGACCCCAGAGGGCCCTACATGCCCTTGTCAATCTATAAATCCCCGAGATGCGTGGGCAGAAATGGTGGCTACAGTCAAATCTCAAGGAGGGGCCTCCTGCTGTTTTGGGGGGAAAGGCGGCCCTCAGCCGGGAAGGCAGAGGGCAGACCCTGGTGCCCGTGGCCACAACAGCTGGTGAATCTGGGCGATTTAACCGGGATCCCTCCCTCTTTTTACTGACAGATTTGTCACTCTGCCTTTATTTTATGTCTCATGCACCCTCTGGAGCGGTGGTTCTCCAACCTGAACCAGCACCGCAATCACCTCCTGGAGGGCTTGTTACAGCCCAGATCTCCGGGCCCGAAGCTTCTGCTTCGGCCAGGCAGAACATCTGCTTTTCTAACGAGTTCCCAGCATGTGTGATGCTGCCGCCCGATACCACACTTTTAAGAGCCGCTCCTCTAGAAAGTGAGGTCCACTCCGCAGCAAGGACCAGGTATATTTTTGTACCACGAGCAACCTGGTGCCCGGTGAAAAAAATGAATCAGAGAATGAAGGAAAATGAGCAGAAGCGGGGCGGAATGGTGAAGACCGAGAAAGGAAAGAAACCTGGGCCGGGCGCTTGCTCTGAGCTGCGCAGCCCCCCTGCGGCTCGTGGGCAGCAGGGCCCCCGCAGCCTTTGTGACGTCACAGCCCCGCCTGCCGGGAGAATGGTTGCCATGGCGACGTAAACCGAAGGCCCGGCCTCGGGGAGACGAGTCCAGGTGCGCAGAGGCTTCGGAGCGAGCGCGGTCTTGCGGAGCCCGTGAGTGCGCGCTGGACCCGGGCTGGGGGCGTGCGGGGTCGGGGCGGAGTGTGTGCGGGGCGGGGCCGCGTGGAGTCGGGGGCGGACACCTCGGGCGCCCTTCCAAGCCCCCGTTGCAACGCTCTCCCCCTTCCTTGCCCGTACTTTACTGGCCTTATCACATACCCAGCCATCTGGGCACCCTTCTTGCCTCTCGGCCCGGTCACCCTTGCCGTAGGCCCGACGGCCCAGACGGGGGTGTGGGGGGACCCCGTCCTGCCCGAGTACACGGTTCCGTTCGTGGAGGCTGCAGCCGGAATGTGGCTGGAAGGGTGCAAGTTTTGGAGTCGAGGAATCTTGGAGTGGAGTCCCAGCCTGGGCCCTTCCTGGCTGTGTGCCTTCGGACAGCTTGCCGCTTTGCCTCCGCCTCTGCAAAATGCAAACTCGTTCAGTACATACTTAAGAAGCGCCATGGCGGGGCCAGACGCTTGAGAAGCCATGAATCAGTGCCTCACCCCGTCCTCATGGAGCTTACGTTCTAGGGGCAGATAGGCAATCAACCGATTGTCAAAGTGATAAATCAAGTATTGGTAACTGGTCAAATGGGAGTGGATGGGGTGTTGAGAAGATGCTTCTCCGGAGGGGTGACGCTTGAGCTCAGGTCTGGGTGTGGGGGAGGCCTGATCTGAGAACAGGAAGACTAGGTAGGGCGGCTGGAACCGAGCCAAGGAGGGGAGCGAGGTCGTACGGAACGCCAGGAACTGCAGGTGTGGGCCTGGTGGCGCGCCCTCAGGGAGCGCCGCTGTCCTCAGCCACCCCGCGCGTGGGGCGGGGGCTGGGGGTGTGCCCAGCGGGCTCAGGCCTCGTCTCTCTCCCCAGGTTGGAATCTGCTTTAGCCAATGGCAAGCTTCTCGGTGAGGGCTCCCTCCTTCGCCCGGATGTCAAAGGTCCTGCCTCCTATGGTCTCCAAGGGCATAAGTTTCAACAGTAAGTTCTGGGCTGGGGTGGGCTCTCTCAGCGTCAAAGGCAGCCTTGGGGGTCTGCACAGTGAGGTCTAGATGTAATCAAGGGCCACAGTGATTCTAAATCAGGCCGTGAACCAGAAATCCCAGGTTTGCCAGGTTCCCTAGAAACTGCATGTTTTGCTTCCTAGGGCCACTGTAACAAAGCCCCACCCCAGGCCGGGCGCTTAAATAACAGAAGTGTGTCTTTTCACAGCGTCACAATCGAGGTGTCGTGGGCAGGGCTGGTTCCTTTCTGCGGCCGTGAGGGGGGGACTCTGTCCTATGCTCTCTCGCAGCTTCTGGGGGTTTGCTGGCGATCTTTGGGGTTCTTGGGCGTGTAGAAGCATCAGCTCAGTGTGTACCTTCGTCTTCACGTGGCGTTCTACGTGTGTGTGTTCCAAATAGCGCCTTTTTCTTGAGGACAGGAGGCATATGGTATCAGGCAACCACAGTAGCCCAGCATGACCTGGTCTTAGTTACATCTGCAGCCACCCTGTTTCTGAACAGGCTCACATTCTGAGGTCCTGGGAGTTAGGATTTCAGATATTCAAAAGCATTCGTCTTAGGGGGGACAGAATGCACCCCAAAACAGGCTTTGAGGAAAGTGCCGCCGTGGAGGTGGGGCTCTCAGCTTTGTGCAGACCGGCCCCCGTGCGAAGCCCCTCCCCCTCTGGAGGCACACGTGCGCGGCCAGGTGCTCCCGCTGAGTGGCACGTGAGAGGCCGCTGGGGCTGAGGGGCCTGGAGGGACAACACGTCCACTGTCTGCGCGCTGTGCATTTCTTCAGCTTTTGGTTTAATTTTCCTGTGGTTCGGATTCAAAAGTGTGTCGATAGCCGCCCTCGTGACAAGCCCTACCTGCCTCCCAACGTGGCGGCTGCCATGTCTCTGTCTCCCTCCACGCGTGACACCCGCCACGCTCACGACCCCACGTGTGCAGGTAGCATAATTCTTTAACCAGTTCGCTGTTGGTGGGCTGCTGTCAGCAGCGGTCGCGCTTTTACACCATGTGCTCTGCCTGTCACTTACTCTGCTCCCTAGTAAATTGAAAAATGAAGGCTGAAATGGGGTTACCAAAAAAAGAAAAAAAGGATAGCTCTGCAATGTTTACAGATAACAAATCAACTCTAAATGCACACACCCAAAACAATGCAACACAGGGGCGCTCTCACAAGACAGTTGAAAGCTTTATAAACTATGCTGATTGACTCTATGGTACCAGGGGCTGGTTAGATGGCGGGCACCCTGTGACCCTCAAGATTCTGTGATCACACCCGTGGAGGTGACAAGCAAGCAGGAGGCGTCCCTGAGCTGGGTGGCCTGGTCTGGGTTGAGGGTCTGTGCATTAGGGAGGAAACCAGGCCAGGCCGGCACGGCCAAGCTGACAGACCCAGGGCACCGGCAGGCTGGGCTGGGCAGGGGTGCTGGGCAAGGCGGGTGAGGGAAGTCGACCTGGGTGAGGGTGTGTCGACTGGGGCTCAAGCCAGGAAGACTGCTGAGCCTGGCATCCTGGGTTCGGCTACAGGAGCTGGCGACCACGGTGGGGGCCAGGAACAGTCTGAGCCCTCTGCGGGGGAGGGGCTTGGGGACACTGAACTCCGAGTCTGGGCCAGGTGCAGATGGGGGGTCTGGACCCCAGCCGCAGCCAGAGGCCGCGGGCAGGGGCACTGGTGTCAGACACACCTGTTCGCTCGGGTCGCCTCGGTCAGCCTCAGCTGCCCCATCTGTGGAGGAGGAACAGCCTGTCTTCCCGAGGGCTGCCGTGGGGCGGGAGGGCTGGGCACACGTGCAGCTCTGCCAACAGTAGGCGCATCCATGTTGCTTGTGCAGTGTCTGCGCTGTTGCTGTTAGCACGCCCACCGCCCATCCTCCAGGGCCTGGGCTGCGTCTGCATGCATGGGGCCAGAGTTGGACGAGATGCTGCAGGCTGCAGGATGAGGGGTGGCCGGGGGTGTGGGCAAGGACTTAGCTGGGATGGAACACGGGAGGAGTGGGCTCTGGGTTTGTTCCTCATTCGCATGTGCTTAGTGAGTGCCGGCTGTGTGTGGGCATGGGTCCTAGGCCCTGGGGACTCAGATGAGTAGCGCTGATGGAGTTGCCCGTCCTGGGACTTAGGTTGGGGCGAGGGACGCAGACGCTGGGAATCGGGCGATCGTTCTGTATCTGTAGCAGCCGAGGGGGCGGGGAGGTCTCTGGGAGGAAGCAGCATTCGACACCTGTGGGTCACTGTCCTGAAAGATGAACGCATGGAAGGGTGTCCTAGGCAGTGGGCGAGGCCAGCGGAGGCCCTGACGTGGGAATGGGCATGAGGGCTTGCGGAAGAGACAGAAGGCCAGTGTGGACCAGCGTGCAGGGCCTTGTGGGCGTAGGGGGACCGCTGGGCTCCGTGGGGATGACGAGGAGGGTTTGAGCAGGACACGGCCCAGTGTCTGGGTTTTACGACTCTGTGGCTGGGGTGCCATTCCGTCCCCCTTGGGACTCCAGTGCAGAGCCCCTTCCGGGAGACCTGGCCTGCAGCTGGTCCCCGCATCTCTGGGGCTCCTCGCGGGGGCGGGGCCTGGGGGCCGTCCCTTTAGCGGCTGAGTGTATTTCCCCGTGTGGGTGGGGGGAGGGGGCTGCTGGGAGGGGTCCTCCCTGCTGAGGCCTGGCTGTGGGGCCTGTGTGCTCTGCCAGCGTGTGTGCACGTGCCTTTCCCCGCCGCTGCTCACCCTGGGCGTGGGGGCCGGGTTCAGTCGTTGACTTTGGCGGTTTAGGAGCCCTGGTTTTAAGTGACCCAACCTTCATCTGGGGAGCTGCAAGATCGGGCCGGGCGTGAGCACAGCTGCTCTGTGCCGGGGTGGGGTGCAGAGGTCGAGGACACGGAGGCGTCGCCTGCTTTCGGAGAGTTTGGGGGGACGGTGATAGGCAGCTCTCCTCTCTGTGCTCGTCCCGTTCGCGCCACTGGCCACCTGTGCTGCTGGGACAGACCTGCAGGGTCCCCTGCCCAGAAGGCCCTCCCCCTGGGGCTCCCTCCCCCTCACTCCCTTCAGGATTTTATTCAGCGTGAGGCCCCGCAGTGAGCCCCGTGTGCAGTTCAATCACGGGGCGGCCGCACCTTCCCCGCACTTCTCCTTGCTGTGCCCTGCTTCATTCCGTCCTTAGCACGTCCCCCGACCTGCCTGGCCTTTCCCTACTTACCTTGTTTATCTCTCTCCCCGGTAGAGTGTCGGCTCCGTGAGGGCAGGGGCTGCTCTGTACCCCTTACGCTGCTGCGTCTCCAGAACCCGGCACCTAAAAAGCCTTCAGTAAAATTCTGTTAGGCTGCAAGTTTTCCCCAAAGACCAGACGCTTTCAACAGTGCCTTTCAACACCGTGCTGAGGTTCACCAGGGCATTTAGACAAGGAAGGGAAGTAAAAGGGCTTCAGATGGGGACGGAAGAGGGGAGACTCTCTGTTCACAGATCCTATATGTAGAGAATCCCCGGGAATCCCCAAGAAAGCTATCTGTGCTAATACAGGAATTGAGCAACATTGCAGGGTACAAGATCAACACTCAGGAATTAGTTGTGTTTCTATACACCAGCAGTGCACCATCCAACATGGAAATTAAGGGGCAGTTCCGTCCACACTGGTGTCTAGAAGAACAAAATATCTGTGAATGGGGTGACGTCACGGGAGGCGACCCAGCAGGAAGACCTGGGAGTCACTCTCTCCACACAGACGAGTATCGAGCAGGCAGGAACTGTCAGAACCCCGGACGAGCTCCGCAGCTTCCAGGAGAGAACTAAATGGAGAGGCTGGGAGATCCTGGTGACCTTTGGCATTTGGTTGAGGGGCCGCCAGTCCCCAGTCTCTGGTCCCGGAGCAGTGGGGAGGGTGGCCTGAGTTCCCGCCGTGGCTTGTGGGTGCCAGGGTGGGCAACAAGGACCTTGTCGTCCCAGATTGGGGCTGTGTGTTTGATTGCTGAGGGGCCACGCAGAGGCTGGTCATTATTTCAGCCCCACAGCTGCCATCACTTCCCTGCCATGTCTGTTGGGGGATTTAGAAACGGGGCCCCTTCCCTGGCTTTGGGAGCCAGACACTTAAGGAAAGCTTTGATGAGAGGTTAATATCCAAAATACACGGAGAGCCCTAAAACTCAACAACGAGTAAAAACAGACAACCCAGTTAGAAAGTGGGCAAAGAACTTAATAGACGTTTCTCCACAGAAGAGGTGCAGGTGGCCAACAAGCACAGAGCAAGCAGCGACACGTCGTTAGCAGGGGCTCCCCGCTCCCTTCCTCTTGGGCTGTGGGCATGGCTGCTTCCCCCATGCCCCACTGAGCCCAGGCTGGCAGGGGAGCTGGTGGCCGGGGTAGAGTTGCCTGCAGGGGAAGGGTGGGCATCCCAGGAACTAAAGGCTTGTGACTTTCCTGTACCCGAGGGCTGTGAGGGAACACTCACACCCCTGCACGTTTTCCTTCGTTTGTGCCAGTTCCTCAACTGCTTCCACTGGGTACCAGGACGGCTGTGGGCCGAACCAGCCTCGTGAGGTTGGGATTCAGGGGTGGAAGGCAGAAGGAAGCAACAGGTGACTCGGGTGCTTTCAGAGAGGAAGACAGGAGCTGGGAGACAAGCAAATTCACACTGTCTGGTGTGGCAGGAGTTGGGGAGCCCCTCTGTGCAAAGGCCCTGGGGCAGGAACCATCCGTCCTGTGTGAGGGGCCCAGGGAGGCTGGGTGGCTGAAGTGTGGGGGGCAGGGGACGAGGCAGAGCGGCTCAGCGAGCACCCCCCGGGGCTTGATCTGGGCAGCCGCCCTCCACGTGCACATCCATTTAACCGTCCACATCCACGCCCTGTGCCCACGGAATGACACACCAGCACCCACCACATCTCCTCTACTGAGGGCTAATTCCCTTCCCAGTGTTCGCTTTTCCCTCCGGCACGGCAGTCGACACCTGTGCGTGATTCCCACGTGTCTCTGGGATAAACTAGAAGGGGGGTGGCGGGTCAGAGGGCCAGGCA